TTTAAAATCAAATTACCTAAAATTCAATAAAACATTAGGTTACATAGAATATTTTCCTAAACTTTTAAGATTACTGTGTAGGTAAAAACTATATATTAAAAAAAAAAAAAAAAATTGTTATATTTATTCCTCAATTAATTTTTTACAGATATGTATGCCCATAGAAAAAAATTAGATAAACTTCCATCTCTCATTGAACCTGTTAATCTTAAACACCTACCTCCCCAAGTTAAAAAAAAAAAAAAAAAAAAAAATGCATTTCTGTGATGTTTTAAACTAAGTCATATTTGTTTCAAATGAGTTTAATTAAACTTTAAATCAGCTAATATTCCTCAAATAAAGTTTCAGAAAATTGTATTTTATTTTTGAAAGATTTTTTTTTAATAAGGAGAATTACATTGTGCTGACAGATGGTTAAAAATGGTGCTAAAATCAGTGATTTTTATTGATATCAAAACAAAAACTCCTTCCAGTCAATTTAAATTATTTTTGAAATACGGCAAAGTATTTTTGCTTATTGAAAATATGAAATTTAATCTATTAACATAAAATAAAAGCCTCAAGAAAGATTTCTCATTTTTAAAAATTCATTTTAAATCTTGGGTTTAAGCTTGGTGACCAAAAAGTACCAAAAATAAGAGGGGTTTCATGCATAACTTTGCTATATAATAATAATAAATAAAAAAAAATGAAAAGGAACACCAGAAAATAAAATAATTTCAGCTAATCAAAGAAAATTAACCAAAACCAAGTTTCATGCTAGTAGAGTCTGGGATCATGTTTAAAAAGGATATAAACTGATAGTAGAGAAGCAGAAGCTAAGAAGGGAGCACCTGAGAAACCAACCAAATGTGTTGTGTGAAGAAGTTAAGCGGTTATCTGCTAAGATTTTTTTCTGCCCTTCTTAGGGCTGAGTAAATGAATTTATAGTGGAAAAAAAAAACATTTATATAGAACTCAATGGGCAGAACCCATTTCAAATGTAGGTAGAACATGTCAACTTATTAAAGCACAAGTTTGCAGTAGCTGAAGGCTATCGGTTCTATACTTTTGCTGAGTAGTAAATATACATTTGAGCTATAACAAATGCACACTTAGCACAAAATTTTAGCGTTTGCTGTTTTTACCCAAAATGTTCTTAATTGAAAAGATTTAACCTACATTACAGTTCTCTTAAAATTAAAGACTGGAATATTTTGTTGCTATTTTTGGTCAAAGAGATAAAAAGTAAGAGTAAATATAAGGAGCCTGTTTAAATGTTATCAATAAAATGTTGACATTTTTTTTTTATGCTTTTTTTGTCCCATTAACCAACTTTCTTTCCTTCTCTTCCTGTACATATCCTGTTCAGATAATCTATTAAGGAACCATATTTAGAATCTTGTGACAAGCCACTGCTGTTATCTGAACATTGGAGATTTTATTTCTTCATACAGATCCTCTAAGACTTTTTTTTTTTTCTGTATATTTTAAAAACACTTTCATATCTTTTTCCCTATATCACTCTGCTCCTACCATCACTAATTGATTACATCTCATTAACTAAATTTAGTTTGCTTCAAAATGCAACTCTGTGTTAACTAATGCAAAGTAACTAAAAGAAAATTAATATTTACTTTTGGACTTTGTATCTTTCATTGATTCTCATTCTCATTCGAAAAATCTTTAAGAACTTTTGAAAGTACTGACTTTTAGCCTTTTATATAATTCTTATAAAAGGCTTTTTTTTTTTTTTTTTTACTAATTCTTTCTTTTATGTGCCATGTCCTTTCAGGACATATGCAATCATGGCTCTCCACAATTTTCTGTCTTTTGTAGTTCTTAAACTTTATCTCGACTAAACCTTATTCTGTCATCCATTTGCTCAAACTCTCTAGGTAGGTTACATGCTGCTTTCCTCTGTCCCTCTTGCCTTCAATATGTCCTGAAAGTATCAAATTTGCTCAGCCCTCTTTCCTCACAATGTACCCTGGAAATTTACATTGTCTCTTCCTGATAAGTGTAAGTGTTCCTTTTTGTTTCCATTTTCTCTAAAACTTTGTCATTGCTTACATGTCTGGTCCATGATATTGTAAAAATTCTTCCATAGGATCACATTTCTGTTGCTTCAAGTCTCTTCATCTGTGATGAGATTGTCCACAGCAGTAGAATAGGACTGATTCTTTTGTTTCTAATGAAATTTTTATGTTGATATTTTGCTTAGCTTTTGGAAAGCATATTTTGCTATCCTAATACACTCTCAGATTTCAGTGCCACACTTTCCATCCTCATTTAAAACACTTCCCAGATATTCAAATTGTACTTGTTTGATTTTGGTATCTCCAGTTTGTAATTTGTATTTTGGGCTGTTACTTTTGCTGACAATACATTCTGTCTTCTTACAATCTACTCCTTTCTTCTCTCTTTCCTTCACTATCTTGTGTAGGAGTACTTGTAGTTTTCTTTCTGTGTCTGCTATCAACACTGTGTCATCTTCATATTCCTAATTTTCTATCCATATGCAGGTGGTTTGCTGTGAGTATAGGTTCTGGATTATTCTAATATTATTTCCTAATATGTTGTGGTTACATATTACTTCTGAACTGCCTAACTTTTAATCTATTAAAACATTCATTCTGCTGTGATGGTTCCCCCATTCTTATTTTGAGTGATCCAGAAACACTGAATACCAAAAAGACTAATTATAGTATTTTAAGTAATGCAATCTATTTGATGATTGTATTTTTAGTAGAATGCTTCATTTGGTGTCCATTTTGTTTCGCAATACATTTTCTGGTCAGTTGGATTCTATAGTTTGTATTTAATTGGGTAACTTTTTTTTTTTTTAAAGAATTTAAAGTATTTAAAGTATTTCTCTTTATATCATCTTGCACCAATGACAACCTTTTATTTCGGCAGATATTATGATGGACCGCTACCAATTTAGTTCTTTGGTATTATTCTGGTTGTTGAGACCTCTGACTTTCATGAGATGCTTGTCAATCCAGGTAACCATCAGTGACTTTAAAACCAAACTCTTTATTTTTTAATAAAGGTTTCAGGTTGAAATTCCCTAAAGATTATCCAGATTGACAAGCACTTTAAGAATGCTGGAAGACACAACAGTTCAACTTTTGTGATAACAGCAAAGCTGAGGACAATAGTCCAAATATAAATAACTCCTCATCTTAGAAATTCAAACAGAAAATTAGTTTTAAAATTCTGTTTTACTCAGTAGTCCTTTAATATTGCTTTTCTTTCTTTTCAAATCTATCAAATATTTTGCACTTTTCAGCTTTCAAAGATTAACAAAGTAAAAGTAGTATTTGTAGAAAATTTATATAAGGATCATTGTCGTGACCCATGATAAAATATATGAACAAAAATAAAAAGAACATATATATATATGTATATATAAAATGAAAAAGAAAGGATCATCAGAAAATAAAATAATTTTGGCCAATAAAAAAAAAAAAAATTAACACAGAATCTTTGCACCAGTAGTCTGGGATCCTGGTCAGAAAGGGTATAAACAAACAGTTGACAGGCAGAAGTCCGGAAGGGACCATCGGAGAAACCAGCCAAGCGTATCATGTGCAGTTAAGTGGTCATCTGCTAAGATATTTTCTGCTCTTCTTAGGGCTGAGAAAAACACAGCAAATTGATACCACCACTTATTTCTAAGAGGACAACTACTATCAAGTTCTTGCTACTAAACTACCAGCTACCGAACCGAAATGGACTCACCCCCAACTGCTAGCAAAGATCTACCTTATAAAACAAAACTTTTGTTACACTGAATACCAAAGGACTCGCTCAAATCTAAATTGAATAAATTTATATTTACACCCTTGAGTCAGTTTGTTTTTGAATTTCTGATAAATAAATACAAAGTCTCTCTGGCACAACTCTCCACAATATCATAAAATTTGTGCTGATATATGAATTGAACTCTAGGCACTAAGATTCAAAATTAACATTGTACTGAGAGGATGATAGAACATTAGTTTGGGACATCTAATTTCATTTTTTTTATTTCTTGGGATGATGCTGGTAATATTTAATTAAATTTTATTATATTTATTCTAAAAGCAATTAACTTAAAGAAACAAAAGTTCTTACTTCTGACCAATAGTGTTGGCCTTTTTAATAAATCACATACAGGCAGAATAAAATTTAAGTAGTTCTTTTTAAACTGGTGAATGAAACCTAAAAGGAAAATGTAGGTTGAAATGTCTAAATTTTAGTTACGTTAGGCAGGGCCTAGTAAATTTTTTTTTTTTTTATAAAGTCTTCATAAAATTTAAAGATTTTGAAATGAACGACAATTCTTTATATAGAAAATGAATGCATAGTTCTTAAAGTAAACATAACTGTTACTCTGAGGATGAAAATTAACAACCATTTCAGAGTAAAATTTTAAGGTGATTTAACTGAAGTGTTTAAATAAGAATAGTGATTTCTTTGTTTTTTTTTTTTTTTTTTTTCAGTAAAAAATATATATATATATATATATATATATATATATATTTTTAAATTATTTCCTAAACATTTTAACAGTTCTTTTGTTATGCTACCAACAATTATTAATACATTAAAAAAAAAAAAAAATTATTTCAGGATGTTTTAAAATTTTTTTTTTTTTTTTTTATAATGTTTTTCAGGGTAGTTCTGGAACAATAGTGTGTAAAAAAAAAAAAAAAAGTCAATCTATAGCTCTGCCAGACACTATTTTCTATCTTTAACATGCAACCAGTTGTCAAGGTTGAATTGACCCTGAAAAAAATTATTTACTCTAAACCCTCAATTGTGTACTCCTCTATATATTCCACATTGATCTACATTGATAAAATACCAACAGCTGAAACTATTATCACTATTGTAATGGCCACACACACAGCAATTCCACATCACTGAGCTCAGTTGAATATTTTTTTTTTAAAAAGTGATAGTAAGATAATACAAAGTTTTTGTACTTGTTATTTTTTATTCACTGAATAATATTTTCTGTTTAATTTCAGAAAAAGCTAGTGATGGCTCTCAAGCCTCTGAAAATTGGACCCTCTTCCTTGATACCTGTGATATCATCAACGAGACAGATGAAGGGTGACTATTTTCTCCTTTTAACATTCAGATTACAATCCATGCACAAATATTTCATTTTACAAGCAAAATCTCTGCTTTTCAGTCAAATATTTAAACTCTTGTTCATTTACACAATAAAAAATGCTTGTACTTAGCTACATTATAAATGATTGTATTTTGATTGAGTATATACACTGGCAAAGAAAGTTGTTACTTTGAATTGAATGCATTAAAAGTAACACCTTTTGTATTTGGCTGCACTGAAATTCTTCCTTGATATTCAAAGTTAGTTCTGTGTCACTACTGTGCCGTTTAAATGTATGCATAGGGTGTGGTGGGGTTCTTGTCTTGTGAGAAAGACCTTATGTCAAATCCTCTGCAACTTTGTAGGTGACTTGATCTTTGAAGGAAATTCAAATTTCTTTTACCATAAATGCCATGCTATGAACAATTACCAAAAAAATAACTTAAAATATAATCAATAAAAATGTGACTTCTATATTTGTCTATATTTCTGCAATGAGGTATTGTAATTATTTACATTTATAGAGAAAAACAATAATGACAAAAAATTGTAATATGAGCTAAAAAAATAAAAGCGTTGGTAATCCAGTGATTTGACCCAAAGAGCTGTGCGTTCAATCCCTGGCCACAACAGAGGTGAAACCAATAACTTGGAGAGTTGAGTTAAAGGGAAATAACTGAATCTGAAATATCTGAAAGAAGCTTGGCATGTGGAACTAGAACAATCACCTGAAAGAGGCCGGAGAGTATAATGGCTGAAACATCATGAATATGACAGAGATGAGGAGAATGTAAATACAATGACTTCTGTTTATAGTATTTAAATGAAGGTTTGAATTTTCTTTCTCTTAAGAGAAAATACTTTTTTTATATATATATATATATATATATATATATATATATATGCCAACAGTATTTTCTCTCATATATATATATATATATATATATATATATATATATATATATATATATCTTCACTTTTGTATTGAGCACTTTTAGTTAGTTGATTACTCATATCAGGGTTTTTTCTTTGGTCTTTGGACCTGTATGCTGTATGATTATTTTGACAGACATTCATGTTCCTAGCTCTTTTTTTTTTTTTTTCTTCGAAATTGATTTGATCATTAGCAAATGAAAAAACTGAAGGTTTTCCGAGACAAGTGTAGTTACCTATATATATAATATATATATATATATATATACACACACACGTTTCATTAAAAACAGCTGACAAGGTACTGTGGTTAAGTTATTTTTATTTAATTTTACTTATGTTAATTTTTTCTTTTCTGGACATAAATTATTTACAAATTGTCTACATGTTCTGTATGTCCAAGCACTTTCAGATACACTTTTAGCCATTATCAAATATGATTTTCATTTTACTTTTAACTGAATGTATGGATTTTTTATGTATCTATGTATAGTATAGCTAAGAGTGCTTGGACATACAGAACATTTGTGCAATTTCTACATAATTTATGTCCAGAAAAAAAAAAGAACACAAGAAAAAAAAAAAAAAATAACTGCACTATCTTGTCAGCTGTTTTTAATGAAACTTGTAAAAAAAGAGGGATTGCTGTCTAAACACAATTTATATAAATATGTGTGTGTGTCACCCTTAAGAGCATTGTAAAATAGACTTCATTAATGAAGTCATTTTGATAATTTGAATAGTTGCTCATTTCTTATTAATCTATATTTTTAATGAATTTAAATTCATGTATCTAGTAAATAAATGCTAACCTCCATTCTTTGCTTTAATCACCATTGTAATTCACCAATAAAAAAACTAATTGTAAATGCTAGCAATATCTAATAATACAAGACATGTAAAGTAATCAGTTTATTCACTTCTAAGCTCTGTCAAACTAACATTGACTGTGGAGTATATGGTTTCAGGGATATTCATCAAATGTTAGATCTTCTTTTTAGAGGATATGAGGGACTCTGCCTTCACTCTTGTGGGTAGGGAATTTATATAACTTCCTGTCATCTGGTTTTTGTCTTGTGTGCATATATCCTAAGTTCAGTTGGGTTCACTTCTTGTTTCTCAGTGCACCTACCAATATCATTTGAAGCTTGATTTTGCACTCAGTAGCTATGAGAGCACTTTAAGCAACTAGCTCTTTTGATGTTCTGAGGTGACACAAAGATTAATTTAGTAACTGTTAGCATAAACCTAGTACAAATTTACGATGGACATTCAACATATTTACCAGGATCAAAAAGGCCAAGTTGCTTTAGATGCTTAGCCTGCCATTTGGAAGAGGCATATAGCTATCAAGAGACAGTCATGCAAATTTTAAACATAAAGGCTACAAAATATTTGGTAAGCAGGACTCTGATGTTGCGGTATCTCTGTAAGAGCAGGACATAGACTTGCCAGAGAAGAAAAAAACCTGCTTTGCCCTGAAACTGCTTAATGGCGTTGTATTCCACATGTTCTGATTTCTAACGTTTTGTTCTTTCTTCACAAAACCTTGAGCAATATTGGTGTCGTCACAGATCAACTCCACTTAGGTCAAAAGTTCCTGGTATTTCCTGGGGTAAATCACATACTCCATAATAATTAAGATGGCCACTAATGAAGACAGTGAAGAGAATGTTTTACTTTCTCTAAAAGTATTAGCAGCTGTGATTAAAACTCTATCCACGGATTCATTTTTATAGCAACCAAGTCGATTCATGCATCTCCCTCCAAACTATGCTGTATTTAAATTCCTGCTTTGCAAAATATTAATTTATTTTTCTTATTTTACATTGAAGTTCACCTAAGAGTCACTCAAGGTAGATGGTTACAGAGTAAGATGCACAGTTTATGGGGATATATGAGGAAGATAAAGGTTGACACCAGATTTGAGCAGGTTAAGATTGTAGTGATCCTGAAAACTCCCTCTTGGGAGTTGGTTCCACAAACCAGTGGTTCATGGGAAGAAGCTGATTGAGTGGAACTTACATCTCACCATTTCTGAATGGAAAAAGCAATGGGTAACCATTCCACTCTTTCCCAAAAATGCATGTAAAACTCCTATTAAAGAAAAAGGTAACTGTGGAGAGTCATGATTGCCTGAAAGGACATGGCATTATTTAAAATAAAATAAAAAAGTATTGTAAAACTTGAGCAAAAAATGTGAATTAACTTCTCTTTGATATATTGCCAACAACCCCATTTAGTTTTTATCTCTCCTAGAAGAGTATTTCATAATAAAAATTAAAATTTCTTGTGCTTTAAAATTTTGACCTCAATTATATGGTTGTTTTTAACTTTCTGATGACCATTTTTGTATCTTATGACAGAAAATATCAAAATTATGACTGAGCATTTATGCAATATAACAAGTTGAAAAGTGACCAACTCATCAAAATGATTCCTTTGCAGATGCAAGTGATTGTCAGTGAAGGCATTCTCTACTTGGTGCACTATTGAATACATATTTCTACTTTTATCTTCCTCTGCAACAGTGCACAAGCAAAGTATGCTTATTGATCAGTTAGTGCATCTGCAAAGCAGTAATAATTGTTATACTTACAATTTCTGCTCTAAAGCTGCTGCTATATCAACCAAAAGTGGGTCATAGCTTCAAGGATGTTGTTCACAGATTTGTCTATTTCTTTGGACAAGATTCTGCAATTTATTTGGAATTGGTTGCCTTTTTAAAAAGGCAAGGTCTTGAAGCAGCAAAGATTGTAAATATTAAACTGCTAATAACTTACAACACTTAGCACTTTCTTTTTAATCAATGAACAAAGTTTTTATAAGTTGATTATACAGCAAATTATGATTTAATTTATATCAGATGGAATGGAAGAAAAATGGATGACCAATTATTTTTATTTTGTAATGTGTGCTGAACTGTTATGTAATATCAGTCCTCTAAGATAGCAGTAAATGCTGGACAATCCCCCTCACATATGAAGAGGCAATAGAAATGTGGTTCTATAGAAGGATGCTGAGTGAGAATACCATGGACAGAACATGTGAGTAATGAGGAAATTTTAAGGAGAATGGAAACAAAAAGGACACTGATACTTAGAATCAGAAAAAAAAACAGTTGAAATTCCTAGGGTTTATAAAGTGGAGTTGGAGAATTTGACACTCACAAAACATATTGAAGGCAAGAATGACAGAAGAAAGCAGTGAGTAACCTATATAATAAGTTTGTGTAAATGATTGGCAGAACAGGAGAGAAAGCAAAAAGACAAACCTTATGAAGAGTTACAAAGGATAAAAAGTTGTGGAGTCATGATTGCCCACATCATAAAGGAACATGGCATGCAGAAGAACGAATCTTTCTCTTGTTTGACTATATAGAATTATTTCATTTCAAAAGTTGTTGAACCAGCATTATTATTCTGTATAAAAACAATTAAAATCTTTTTAAAAATTGAAAGAAAGTAGATAAATCTTTTGTCTGATTTATTATTGACTTAAAAGTGGATTAAAAATACAGTTGTTTCTGATCTTGATAAACTATGCTTATTTCCTAGTCACAAAATGTAATGCATTTGACAAGCAGTGCTACTATGAGTTATAATTATACTTTAGTTAAGATTAATCATCATAATAAAATTCTGAAATAACAAAATATATAAATATTAAACCAGTAAGTTTCTGATCAGATGTCAGTTGACTCCTGTTTTTGTTGTCAGTGGTTCAATTGCAGGAATTCTGGTTCAGTTATTGAACAGAGCACAAACTAGAAAGCATTACACTGAATCCTGGATTAGAAATAGGTTCAGTTGTCCTGGAGCCGTCAAGCACACCATTGATATCAATGGTTCTATCACAGCAGCATCCTAAAAGTTTATAGCAAGTAATAAAGGAAAAGAGAAAATTTTCTTCCAAGGGTACATGTATACAAAACAGATTGCAAGATCAACTACTATCAGATGGAGATGTTAAGAGAATCTTTTTTGTAAAGGTTTTATGACCACTAGCCTTGATATGACTGATCCTATTCCAATTAAAAAGCCACAACCATGCTCCTGATTAT